TTGATGCAGGATGAAATGTTCCTCAAAGCCTGTGGTAATGAAGTGGACCAACAGAGGACGGTGGAGAGGACACGTGGAGGAAGGGCCGGTGGCGTGGGTAGCTACCTCTCCTGTGCTGCCTCTTTGCTCTCCTAACTGAACTGCTGCTGCTGCTGCTGCTGCTGCTGTGGGGCTTGCTGGGTCTGCTGGCTGGGGGGAGGAGAGGAGGAGGAAGAGAGAAAGGAGCAGGTTGCTGCTGCTGAAGCTGAAGCTGATGCTGCTGCTGATGCTGCTGCTGATGCTGCTGCTGCTGCTGCTGCTGATGCTGATGCTGCTGCTGCTGAGGGAGGGGGGCATTGGTGAAGTGCACGCCAAGTCCCACTGCTGACATCAAAATGGAGGCCATGCCTGGAGCAGGGTAGGGTGGGGTGGGTCGGGTTTGAGTGGGGGGGGAGGTGAGGGTTGAGAGCAAGTGGAGATATGCAGGAGCAGAAAGAAACAAATCAAAGGTATGAGAAATGTAGCAGCAGCTGATGCTTCCACTGCGACCGCCACACACACGCACACACACACACGCATCAAAACCTTTCAACATGAATCCACTTGTGTTTTCTATTCGACAGTTTATTTGTTGAGTGTGAAGCTGATTTGGAAAGAAGGACCAATGTTTCACAACGAGACATCGACCGCACTCCTCTCCGTCCTGGGAGGAGGACCCCAGAGGGTTCTGTGCTCAGATAGCAAATGGCATTCAAACCCACATTGATTGGTATTAAGGGGCCCAAAGTTTCCAATTACACCACCAGACTTTGAAACAAGGCGGGTCGGGTCCACGGAGCGCCTGGCCTCACCGTCTGCAGCCTCAGCAGGAATCCAGACTCATCAAACCGGGCTTCATCAACTGTCCAGTTCTGTCGAGCTGGCGTCACTGACGCCGACATGTTGTCGTCGTCCGTCCACCACAAGGTTTGACGTGTTTTTCCGTTCTGAGGAGATTTCTGCTCAGCCGGTTGTGAAAAGTGGTTTTCTGAGTTATCTCAGTAGTTTTGTCAGCTCTGAACAGTCCGACCATTCTTCTCTGACCTCAAATCAACGAGACGTTTCCGTCCACAGAGCTGCTGCTCGCTGGATGTTTTTTTTTATACGACCCTGAGTTAAAACTCTGCACATCAGCAGTTTCAGAAACACTCCGACCAACAATCACTCCACCGTCCAAACCCCATTTTCCTCAATACTCATATATTTGATGTGAACATCAATTGAAGCTATTGACCTACATCTGTGTGATGCTACACACGGCTGCCACACGATTGGCTGATTGGATAAATGCATGAGTGAGCAGGGATACACGTGTCCCTGGTCAAATGTATATTGATGAATATGTGGACACGGATCAGTTTCAAATGGCTGTTCAACAATATCAGAATTAAATTCATAGACTGGAAATAAAGCTGAACGATAGATCTCGATAGTGAAGCTAAAAATTCTCTATCGCCCCCTAGAGGCCCGCTGCAGTATAAATCACAAGATACAGGTTTCACACTCACTCCTGCGAAGATGAACGCAGGTGATTTCTTCAAACCACGCAGTTAGTGATCGGTACCTGTCGTCTCATTTTCAATATATGATATTCACTGACGTCACTGATCATCATTCAAATTACCCATCTAGACTCAAATGATCTGAACGAGTAGACTCATACGATAAAGATGTATGGTTTAAGTTATGAGTAACAGTAGATGTGTTCTGTTCTTTAGCCTTGAGGCGTCAGTCAAAAACCGGGGAGGTGGAGCTGTGGGACAACTTGTCTTTCAGCGGGAAGACAGAAAGCTGAAGTCAATCATCCTTCGCATTCAGGACTGAATGTTTTGTACAACACGAGTAAACCTGAGTCGGCTCTCAATAAAAGATGAGACTGTGCGGAGGCTGTTTTCGTATATACTGGAATAACAAATTATATTATGTTCTTTCCTGCCGAATGGAAGTGTCTCTGATGGTTTCAACAATAAAAGCAACATCATGCGCTCCACGCCACCACAACTCTTTTTGGTTCTATGCTTTTTAAGTTTGCTTAATATTTATCAACTTAACGTTATTCCTAAACAGACTGACACCCACACGACAAATGCAGAGGGGCGGCACATAAAAAGATTAAAATTATACTGAATAAGAAAAACCTGTAACGCGCTCAGAGGTGCGGTGCAGAACAGACTGAGGAGAGGGAACTGAGAGGATGAGGCTCGTTTACCTGCCAGGGCCGAGCTGACGCTGGTGGATCCGTTCAGCTGCACAGAGATGGAGGGAACGCTGCGGGACAGGAAACAAAGACAGCGACGTTCAGTCAGTGAAAACGGAAACAATCCAGAGGGAAACAAAAGAATATAAAGAAGCCTTAAAAAGTTTAGGTACACACACATCAGGAACAGCTTTGGCATCAGATCAAGATGATAAAATAAAACCTGTAATCTCCCTCCACATCAGTGTTCACTCTGTATCAGTTCATGAACATGAAAACTGGATGTTTCACTCGTCAGTCAAACTAGAGGACGTGAAACAATAGAAGGAAACGTGTCCCTGATAATGAGGCTCTCCTGACCTCAGTCAACCTGCTGAATAAAGGAAGTGGTGGGACGAATGTCTGGAGCCTTAATGCACTAGACAAGCTGCAGCAGTAACTACATTAAGGTAAATATGTTATATTAATATAACACAACTTAAACCCACGTACAGAGGAAGAAAAGCTACTATTCAAAATGAAGCTTTTCCTTTATTCTGACGTTAAAGTACATTTGTTTAAAAATCAAAAGCTGAAACATCTCATTGAGGATTCCGAGCGTTGCCTCAGTTCTATGTAGAAACACCTTAGGCAGCAATCACAGCCTCCAGTGTTTTTGTCTCTACAAGATTTGCACCCCTGGATTTGGGCAGTTCATCTCCTGGCAGATCCTCTCCAGCTCTGTCATGTTGGATGGGAACTGACATCTTCAGGTCTCTCTGCAAAGTCGATGTTGGGTTAAATCTGGGCTTTAGCTGGGACACTAATGACAGTCAGAGACTTGTCCCGCAGCCTCTCCAGCGTTATCTCGGCTTTATGCTTCGGGTCGCTGTCGAGCCGAGAGGTGAAGTGTCGCCCCGGCCTCGGGTTGAGTGCAGTCTGGGGCAGGATTTCTTTAAGGACCTCTCATTCTCTCATCCTTCCATCCTCAACTCAGACCAGTCTCTCTGTCCCTGCTGCTGAGAACCTACTCTCTCTATTTAACATGATGCTGCCTACAACATGCTAATATTACAAGAAAATTAATAATACAATATATTTCTTTTATGATATAATGTGATCCATAAAACATTTAATAATTTTAAACTTTTCATATTTCTGGAGGAGCAGACTGAACTGCACACATTAGACTTCAGCAGATTCTCTCGTACACACACACAAACAAGAACCCTAACCTGGATGACCATCATGTCTTCGGGGAGATTCACGGCATATTGGATTGTAACGACCACCCCTCTATACAGGGAGTTGGTGCTTCTACCATTAGGTAGAGGACAGTTCCTGCTCGTAGGACTCAAACATAAAAACTCTCCTTTATCTGTACGGCAATTAATATGGAACATTTGCCAGTTATGCCACTAGCGCACTTTGTTCTTGTACACTGGATTTGACTCATCTTTGTATTTTATGTGGTGATGCTGTGTTGCATTAATTATAAGAATAATAATTAATGTTGTGTTTATGATGGTTTGTAATTTCCCTTTGGACAGGATAATAAATTTGACTTGACCTGAAACCGTGTCCAATAACTTCAGTCTGCCACAGGTGGATCAAGATCCCGACACGTGACAACGAAGGTTGACGTGGGAGAAAATTAGAGCCAAGAGAAACTGAGTGCACAGTCATCATAACACGTGAGTTAGAAATGTGTGTTTGAAAGAAGTTTTCGAAGTGAGGAACGGAAGAGACAGAAGGCAGCAGATGACAGAGAGTCGCACTAACTGAGCCAAAACAAACATCCCACCACAGCACAGGGCTGCAGCTACGTTTTTTTTGTAGTTCCTGTTTTACAGGATCGATCAAAGTGGAGACAGACAGGAAAGACAAAGAGGAAGGAGAGGGAAGGGTGGAGAGGGGCCCGCACATCCCCACACAGCTGAATGAGCCGGAGTAACACATCATGGCTGTTGTGATACTGTAACATAACTATATCACGCTACAAGCCGAGTCACAGTCACACATTCAGAAGATACTGACCTTAACCCATTTGCACTGGCGGAGCTGGTCAGAAGCGGCGCAGAAAGTTGACTTCCAGAGGGTGGTGGAGGCCAGGGGCTGCCCCAAGACATCGCCCCAACGGAGAGGGGTCTCCTTGGGTATGGCGAGTAGACAGATGTGGGGTGAGTCGCCACAGCCCTCCCTGTCCCTTGGAGGCTGGGCCTGTTCAGACTCCCCGAAGAGAAGGAGTGTCGTGAACGGCTGGGCATGGGTCCCGTGCTGCTGTGGCTCAAACACTGCTGGCAAGAACACGGGCCCGAGGGGATGGCCGGGGGGCCGTTGGAGGCCAGCGGGTATGGGAGGTTACACTGACGTTGCACCTGCCGCCTGAACCCTGTGGCTTTGTTCACCTGGGCCAGAGAGGTGAGATCCACGATGTAATTATATCCATGAGGCCCCAGGTCTGCGGTGCCTTGGCGCGCCTGATAGCTGTGCTCCAAAAGGATGGAGGTTCGAGTCTCGTACGGAGTCCACCCTCCTTCGTCGTTGGCCCATTCCCAGTAAACACCACTGCCGAGGCCTGAGGACTGAGCGAACAGGGACCGACGTACCGACCGAGTCTTTCCTGGAAATGAAAAGAAAACCATCAATGAAGTGAAACTTTGGTTTTCTGTGGTTGTTGTTGTTGTGACGTGCTGAATAAATAAGACTTCACTTTAACACAAGCTCATCCTTCATGATAGCACAGTCTGTGTTTTGGCTAATGATGATGTTGTTGTTGTTAGGTTTAGTTATATTAAGTAATATTTCTTCAGCACTGTGTTAAAGCAGAGGACTGGAACTGCTACACGCGTTAGCTGCTAAGATTTACAACCTGTTTACCCTCATTTAAAGAAGCTAGCAGGAATCAGCTGGGCTAAACCAAAACAACATGCTAATGTCATGTGTGTGCTGCGTTATAACGCTGTCATGTGAACATGTTGGTGAACCACACGTGAAGCTGAGGGTTGTTAGCGTTGGTACGAACACACAACTGCATTGTGTACCTGGCTAACGTGAGCTAGCAGCTATGTAAACATATATCAAAACAACAGCGCCTCTGAGCTAATGCTAAGTAGCTAGCGTCCCAGCTAGCAGGGCCCGGAGAGATTAAATCATTAAAACAGGGTTTGTGACAGAAAGTGAGATGTGTGATAAATCCCTGAATGTCTCACCCGTGTCCTGGCGGAACTGCTTCAAGCTCGGGATGTCGATGAGATAAGGCGACAGGCTGGGGTCTGATTGTCCGAGGCAGATGCTCGTGGAGCCGGGTCCCGCTCCTCTGTGGCCCCGCGGCGACAGGCACCGCTCGATGTGGGCGCTCACCTGGCCGCTGTACGGCCGCCAGAAGCCCAGGTCGTCCTGCCACTCCCACACCGCGATCATGGGCTGGGACTGTCCCGCGGAGCCGGAGGGCGTAGCGGACACGGAGGGCCCGTTCCTGGAGCCGTTCACCCGGGCACAGGAGCCAGACACGATCGCCATGTTCGCCAGGCTAAAGCTAAAGCTAACAACAACTCGCTCCGGTTAGCAACCGATTGCGGCCGCGACGACGGGAACAGGGGGTCCGCCGGCCCGGCTAGCTCGGCTCGTTGAAACGCTGCATCGTGAACGAGCTAACACGTTTTTAAAGAAGCTCCGAGGTTAGAACCCGGAAACAAACGGGCCGGAGAAACATCCAGGGGCATGTTGACGGAGCTGGTGCGTTCACTGGACTTAGCTCTATGTGGCTAATGTTAGCTTAGTGACAGCCCCCTTCATCCCCTCATGCTGCCTTCACGGGCCGTCCGGAAATACTGACACTGTGGGAGCCAATAACAGATGGGAACTTTGTTTAAGAAATCAAATGCATTCTACTACTGTTACTACTACTACTACTACTAATAATAATAA